TTTTGGAAAGCTGCTGAAAAGCGGCATCATAACAGAAACATAGGAAAGGATCGGAAGGATCATGATTGTCATTACTTCATGTTATTTATCAGTACCATAGAATGATGAATAACTCTATGATCAACACAGAAACATATTTGATGGGGAACCAAGAAACTTTAGGTCTTATTGGACCCGATTCGAGACACTGATCGATAAAGATCAGACATTGTCCAAAGCAGAGAAAATAAATCTGCTATTCGAAGGTCTACATGCTAAGACCATAGCACTCATAAATGTTGATCCCACAGAGGACAACTATGAGTTCATAAAAGATTGCTTACAGAAAGAGTACGGCGTATACAAAACCGACTTGTACACTCTTCTGAGAAAGCTACTGAGCGTGAAAACAGCTCAATTAAAAGCAACAGACTGTGAGAAAACCTACAGAGAAATTAAAGCTCTATTGCGACAAATAGAGACAGTAGGAGGCACAGTATCAAAAGAGATCTGCCTAAGTCACGTGTTGCCAAAATTCCCATTCAAAATAGTGGGAGACATAATAATGGATGCAGACGCAACGACGTCTGATGAAATCCTAAACGCTTTACACGAAAAGATTGTAAAGTTCAAATTGAGGGAAGAAAAGGAAAGTTTCCATGATGGGGAACGCTCAAATCCTATCCCAAAAGAACGGAATCGTTCGTCAATGAATCAATGCGCATTTTGCGGGAGAATTAACCACGCCACTAGTATGTGCAGAACATTCGCTTCGGTTACCGAAAGAAGGGACCAAGTAAAAAAGAGAAATCTCTGTTGGATTTGCTTTTCTAATAAGCACAACAGTAGAAATTGCACTCAACCAAAGTGCAACACCTGTCAGCTTGAGCACAACATGTTATTGTGTAACAAAGCCATGGAGAAACAGGAAACAGAGCCTAAGTGCAAGAAGCCGTTCAAACCAAAACAACAGCAACTGTTAACAGTTGATAGAGGTTGTGACAAGGATGAACTATCTGGTGAAAGCAGCTCGGATGAGTCAGAACCAGTAATGTTANGTGCGAAGACTCAGAATGAGAAAGTACCTCAAACTTGGGTAATTAAACCGAATAGAACATCAATCGCCTGATACATTCTCTCCGTTGTCGTAGTTGTGCTGCGTGGAATATGTTTCTGTGTTGATCATAGAGTTATTCATCATTCTATGGATGTTCTGGACCAGAAAGCTGTAACCAACAAACGCCACATGTTAAGACAAATTACTTTTAGTTCAGTATTTAAACCCGTTGTTTACTTGGAAAATTCAGTTTTTACGCTATCACTGGAATTTTACGCTCATTTTCTTTGTCTCGCTTGCTTGTATTTTATTCGTTTAAATAAATCCTTTGTCGTCTTCTATTTTGTTCTTCATTAACAACGTATTGTGAGTTAAAAGATCTCATACCAAAAAACACTCTTATCCACTGAACCGCCGCATCAAATTGGTGCATCGGCCTAATTAAAAGGCCGAAAAGTTCACGTGTAATGGCAGACCCAGAAGAGGGGCCGAACATACACGTAGAGATGAGCAATGCTCAAATATTGGAGTTCAAAGAAGCCACTGAGACGCTTGAAGGCGTGATGGACCGTACATCCCCAATCGCTTTAGATTGGAGAGTTAACACGTACAAAGCCACTCGCACTCAACTTCAAAAATCGGCTAAGGAACTGCATACAGCATTATCCGAATACACGGAAAAAAGAACAGCGATCATAGAATACCGACAATCGTTGACAGAAGAACTTCGACCAGATTTCGATCAACTTTTAGTAGTTCGAAACGTCGATCTTAAAGATCTCGTGTCGCGAGCCCACAACTTGTACCACAAGTTGATGGAAAAAATAATAAGAATGAAAGAGGAAAAAGCGAGTTCTCAAGAAAGAACAAATCCTCAGGAAAAACCAGTTTGGTTAGACGAGATAGTAGGAATGTTCAAAGAAATGAAACAACAGACCACAGATCTGCAAAAACTCATGTTAATAAAGCCCACAGTGGCACCAGCACCAATGGCAGTGCAAGGGTCGGTAGCGGTACAGCAACCATCGGTCGCAAGTCAACCAATAGCACCGCCAACACCAATACCGATACCACAACCAATGGCTATGCAACAACCAATAATAATGCAACAGCCGACCACAATTATACAGAGACAACCATTACGAGTACCAACATTCGATGGGGAATCTCAAAATTTCAGGTCCTACTGGACCAGATTCGAAACACTGATCGATAAAGATCCGTCGTTAACTAAAGCAGAAAAAATAAATATGCTTTATGAAGGTCTACAAGGAAAGGCCAGGTTACTCATAAACGTTGATCCTACGGAGGACAACTATGAGTTTATAAAGGATTGCCTACAAAAAGAGTATGGAAAGTACAAAACAGATTTGTACACACTACTGAGAAAGCTGCAGAACTTAAAAGCAGCACCAATGAAAGCAACAGAATGCGAAAGAACCTACAGAGAAATCAGAGCGCTCTTACGCCAGATAGAAACTGTAGGAGGCGCAACAACGAAAGAAGTATGCCTAGGTCAGGTATTACCGAAATTCCCATTCAAGTTAGTGGGCAAATTAATAATGGAGGCTGATGAGAAAACATCAGAAGAAATCCTCGAAACTTTGCACGAAAAAATTGTGAAGTTCAAATTGATGGAGGAAAAGGAAAGTTTCCACAACGGGGAACGCTCCAACCAGTTCACAAAAGAACGAAACTTTTCATCTTCTAACCAATGTGATTTTTGTGGAAGAAATAATCATGCTACCAATAAGTGTAGAACCTTTGCTTCAGTTACTGAAAGAAGGGACCAAGTTAAAAAGAAAAACCTCTGTTGGATTTGTTTTTCCAAACAACACAACAGTCGCAACTGCACACAAGCGAAATGCAGCAGTTGTCAGCTTGATCACAACATATTGTTGTGCAATAAAACCGTGAATCAAAGTGGTACTGAGATCAAAAATAAGAAGATTTTCAAACCCAAACAGCAACAACTG